AGACAGAGAGAGGCGTTGAAAGGCTGCTCCAACGGAACTTGGAGGAAAACACGAACACAGTGTACAGTCGAGTCTTAATAGCTTACACTGCCCATGAGGCTACATTCTTTAGAGCTATGCCTGTAACACTCTGCCTATTGCCTTCATATTAAATAATTTTTTGAACAATAATTTGTTCAAATTGTGGAATTACCAAAAATAGAGAGGGCATAGCCTAACACATGAAACAGGAAAATACCGCCATGTAATCCATTTATTTCAACAAAGTAACTGTATTCTGAATACCACCTTTTTAAACGGTAACTGTAATGAATACAGTTACTCATATTTTGTGTTTTAAATACGTGACGCCGGTACATGTATTCCGTTACTCCCCAACACTGTGCATTTCACAGAATTCAAGCTTTAAAGAAAAAAATCTATATTTTTATAACTTCACCAGATAAAAGAACATCAAGGCTTTTCTCTTTCTTTTTGCTTTACAGGAAAGCATATGATTGAGCTCACTAAAGCACCTGTTTGTTCCTTTATCCAACTTGTGTAATGAAAATTTATCAAGCACAACACACCTCCAAAATAAAACTTGACCCTTTTGAACATAGTATAAAATATGAAAGTAAGAAAAACAATTTGCCAACAACATGTCCAAAGGCGGGAATTAGCAAAGTATAAATACTTCATTACTGTAGTTAAGTAGGATTTTCAGACATCTGCATTTTACTTAACAATAAAATAACAAAAGACAATCCTACTGATGTATCCATCACTGGTGCTACCTCACATGACAACATGGAAATATAATGCTTAGCTGTAATGCCCCATTTCATTTTAAATATTTTTTTAATGGATGCTGGATATACACATGATGTATGCTAACAAAGTTATGCTTTTCATATACATAACATAAACTGTCCTGCAAAACAAACTGAAGTAGCTGTTAGCACCATTTATAATTATTCGATGTTTTATTTTGAAAGGTCTGAAAAGAATATGGTGCTTTTATTGTGAAAGGTTTGTGAAAAATAAACAAGTGGATGGTGGAGCAAGACGATGGTTTTAGTCGTTGTTGCACAAACCGACACGTAAAACAGCCTCTTGTCCATCCAGTCTCATTTTAAATATAAGAAAAAATAAACTAAGAGAGCCACTACATTAAGTAAAACCATCCTGCTCCAGAGCGAGACAGCTGCATCGCTATGAGGTCGTACAAGTTGGATACTGCAAATCAGTTAAGCGTACAGAACTGTGTGCATGAAGAATCTAAGAAGAAAAGAAATAAGCTTCCATGGATAAAGTTTTGGACCATGATATGCTGCCAAGCTACAAGTCATGCCAAAATTGAACAATTAACATACTAGATTACTTACAAATAAGACAATGACAGTGACAGTGGTCTTAAGAAAGATGACATTCACTATGAAAGCCTCAGCTCTGTGTCATAGACATTTTGTTTCATGAACACTTGTTGAATAAGAAATTGTGTAAAAGGAGCAAAGATGGCGGATGAAGACCGGCAAGGTCCCCTGGGCCCCCTTGTGGCCGAAAAGAGGATCGGAAGAACAGCTTGGCAGGCACATAAACGCAAGAAGGTCCAAGCGGTCACAATTAACTTCGAAAATGAATAAAATTAGTGGAGTAATAAAAGAGAATGAAAGTCTTGACATTGTTGATGAACATTTAAGTAACTTTTCAAAGCTACATGAAGAATTCTTAAGGGCAAATGATGATGTACTGTCGCTGTTGCCAGAAGATGAAGGAATGTGGATCAGATGCTCTGGTTCAATGCAAAAGTGAAGCAGTTCAGTGCGTTTATGACTGAAGTTGAAAAATGGATCATCGTAACAAGAAATCAGCATCAAGATGACACGAGCCCAGATGACAGCGTGTCAGTGGCTGCTACACCCACTGCAAAGAAATCAGATACCAGCGTCAGAAGAAGCTCAGTCAGTAGCCACTCATCGAGGTCGTCCAGAGTTTCATCGGTATCATCTGTACGGCAGAAAGGGGAAGCAGAGTGCGCTGCTCTGCTTCCATGAGCCGCATCCTTGAAACAGAGACAAGCCTTGGACATTGAAGAATGTAAGTTAAAGGCAAGAAGAGAACAGCTTGACATTGAGACAGCTATTGCTGCTTCTACAGCCAAAATAAAAGTTTTAGAGGACTGTGAATATGACAGCTGTAAAAATGATGTGGAACAGTGTGAATCAGCTGTTCAACAGTTCAGCTTCCAAGAGCCAAAGGTACAAGGTGAACATGATGGGCAGTCAAAGGTAAATGGTCACAATGTAAAAACCGACTTCCCACCACCACTGTCATGTGTTAAAAAAACATAAAATACTGAACTTCAATAACTTAGTGAAACTTAAAAGATTGTGTTTAATATATAAAGTCTTACACTCCCTTGCTCCACCACCACTAAAGCAGTTCATTAGGCATAAAGAAAGCTCAGACAGGACCA